TTAAACCCCTTGAAATTGTACTATAAACGAGAGTATACCAGATCCTTATGTGCACCTTAGTAATTTATTATGCTGCATAATGTCCTCCGTTTCGGTGCAGTAGAAATGGCCACTCTATTCAACAGTGACACACCTAGGCTGAAAGTTTCTTTCTTCTGTACAGCTAGCTACAAGCTCTCTCTAGATTAACATGTCACTGCTGTTAGCAGTCAGTGCTTCCCTTTACTGTCTTTCTTTCATCCTTCTTTGTTCAAATAGCTTGTTAAAATCTTTCGGTTTTCATAGGAATGCAGTAAAACTGGATTACCATCCTCCGCCGAGTATGACGAAGCAGTTTCAGACTAACGTCAGACAGTTTAATAAGGAGGTCATTATCTTTTGAAAAACCACATTCAGTCTCAATAGCTATTATAACAAGCTGTTTGCATGCTAGCAATTCAAAGCAACATTATTTAATTATAGTAATTGAGAACCTAGTTTTTTGTACGTTAAGTTTAAATTAAAAACGACAAACACGTTTAACTTATCATGCAAACATGGGCTCTATGCCCAACTACACTACTTCCTGAATTTAAGTTAACTCACTTTCTCTACTGGATGAAATGATTTGTCCAGGTGCGCCTGACCTCAGTGACCATGACGAAAATGGTCAGGCACACCTGGATTAATCAATTTAACCAATAATGGAAGACAGGAAACAAAGAAGCTGCCAAAGGAGCTTCAGGAAGTAGTGGAGTCATAAACAGAGGCCATTATAATGACTTGACTGCTGGCTAGCCCGTCACCTGTCCTGCAAACAGGAGGCCTGGGTTCGTATCCCAGCTGGGGGGAATGAGCTGCCAGTGTGGGTCCTTAGGTAAGACCCTTCACGCTAAAGTCTGCTTTGGGGAGTGGCGGCGTAGTGATTAGGGCTTTACACTTGAAATTCTAAGGTTCTGAGTTCGAGCCCCAGTCCCACAAACTGCCACTCTGGGTACCTGAGCAAAAACCCTTAACGCCACACTGCTCCCCAGGTGCCGCACAATGGCAGCCCACTGCTCCCATTAAATGGTGAATTTCAGATTCCAGTCTTCCTGGTCATAGTCATTCCAAAAAAGTTTAAAAAAACAATCCACTGGACATTGTTTCCAAGTTTGAAGATGTTTCTCTTTCCATCCAGGAAGCTGTTTCAATTCAAAATGTCAAAAAATAGTTCAGAGTTCAAGGCTTTATAGACTGGACCAAAAACAAAGCCCCTTAGGAATGGACAGTCGTTTGGCTTCTTTGCTATCCTGCAATACCCGATACCTGTCTATATCTCTGAAAGGGGGTCGTTAGGGGGAATTGTTGGTCTGGCTGAACAAGCAGGTGTTTTGTTCCCTGGTATGGGAGGAGGGTTGCGATGATAGCGGGAAGGAATAAACTCTATCGCTGCATTGTAGGTTTTTGAAAGCTGAGATCTGAGTCTTTTTAAGGTTTTCTTTCCTAACATAGATTTCTTCCTTCACGCCCCTCTCAAAACAACCGTCTTCTTTGTCCAAAATGTGAACATTCTGGTCCTCAAAAAAATGTTCTTCGTCCTTAAAGAATCGTTTTAGAAGACAAAAACAGTTTAAAACAGCGCCTTCTACAGGTATCTTCACCCCAGCTAAAAATCACTCAGCACTGGGGCAAAGACAGTAGCCCTTTCTTTCATCTCATTTTATTTTCCTACATTTCCTGAAGACACTGGTCAATATTAAGATTGACATAGAAATGAAACTTTTTTTCTGTTTATATAGATATGGATCACGGTGCTAATATTTGATTACCAAAATGGAATTATGCTTTGGTTGAATACGTTTCTGTGAAGTTTATTTTACACATTTTTCTGTCAAGCTATAAAGATGAGTAAAAAGGACCTGGAAACTTGAAAAAAGGAAAATAATATGCTAAGAATAGAAAAAATAGAGTCCTCCTGTCATAGCTGAAATGTTGACTGTCTGCAGATTTGTTGAAGATGCTTTTTTCCGTTTTGTTTTTCATACAGGAACTTGATGCCTCGTACTCTGGAGGGTCAGATCACCATGGAAAAGACTCCAAGCTACTTCATAACCAAAGAAGCTCCTCGGCGTGTCCACTCCATGAGCCGCCATACTAAACTCATTGTTGTGGTGCGTGACCCCGTGACCCGGGCTATTTCTGATTACACCCAGACTCTGTCCAAGTCGCCCGGGCTCCCATCATTCCAGAGCCTGGCCTTCTGCAACACCACCACAGGGCTCATCGACACATCCTGGAGCGCCATACGCATTGGCATATATGCCAAGCATCTGGAGAACTGGCTGCGTTACTTTCCTCTGTCACGTTTCCTCTTTGTTAGCGGCGAACGTCTTGTGACGGACCCGGCGGGGGAGATGGGCAGAGTCCAAGACTTTCTGGGTCTGAAACGTGTGGTGACAGACAAGCACTTCTACTTTAACCAAACCAAAGGTTTCCCGTGTCTGAAGAAGCCAGAGGGCAGCAGCAGGCCACGCTGCCTGGGGAAGTCAAAGGGCAGAGCCCATCCTCTGATATCAAACGAGGTCCTGCTCAGGCTCAGAGACTTCTACAGACCCTTTAACCTCAAGTTCTACCAGATGACTGGCCATGATTTTGGCTGGAGCTGATCTGCTGCCCACCAAAGGTCCTAAAACCTGCCAATGCAATTCCTGCTTTGTGAGGCTTTTCCAAAGAAACCTGTGTCTTTAAGGTCCTAAGCTTAGAAACTTACTTTATTCTGAAAATTCTTGAGCCGTTAAGCAAAACTGAAGTCCTAAACAGAACCACTGAGACAAGCACACAACTTTTTTGACTGTGACTGGAATCCCTAAGCTTATGGAGGAGCTGCTGGCTTCTTTTAAAAGCTCAAAGTATGAAAAGGTGTAAGTGCCAGCTATCCTTTAGCAGCATAGTTTCCAATTGAAAGCTTTGATGCCACAGTTAATCTGTAGGTCAAAGGGCTGAATAACTTTGACAGGCTCATTCAAACCAAGAACTTTTTCTTTTTTTAATGGTACTGTCATAACAAATGCAAACATGTTGGCTGCTCACCTCTGAGTGAATAATTCACCATGTCTACATTTTAATGGAGCATTTTTGTGCTTTACATGTCAATATAAGAGCATTTGATGTTCTGTTTTGCTTTTATTTCTCTTTAGGATTTGTAACTTTTCACTTTTTTGTTTAAAGAAGAACCAGTCATGCAACATGTAGCCTGCAACACATATCAATGCTCTTTATGTCTCCAGGGTAATGCTTTGCATATTAACAGACCTGAAAGAAAATATTTCCAACTTTTTTTCTCTCTCTCTCTTATCTTCCCATATATGCAGCTGTGTATTTTTGTAAAACCTAATTTATTATAAAACCAACTGATGTAGAGATGTTTTTCTCTGACGTTTTTGTATCTGATTTTCTTTCTTTTGTCAAATTCTGACTAAAATGTTCTTATTCTGACACATGTTTTAGGATCATTTATCCACCGACTTCCTGAGTAACAAGGATTTCCTTCTTGTATTGATTTCAGACAAATCCACATTTCTGCAGCCAACAACATGATGTACATCTGTTGTGCAGATGATGTCCTTCTGCCAGAGGAGAAACAGACACAGGATATGCAGTTAATCACTTTTATATGAGTTGACAACATTGGTGTTGACAGAAAAGTTCCTGCACCGTGTTAATCTGAAATGGGCTCAGCTCCTCTATAGGACAGAGAGCAGCAGCCACAGACCTTCCTTCCATTAGCCTGTGGAACTTAATGCAATCTCTTACCCTGCATTAGCTGAATTTTCTGAGAGAAATGTGAGCGTCTTCCTGGGTTTCAGGCTTATCCTTTTTTTTACGACTGCATTTGTTATAAACTGAAGCAACAACAAAAAATGTAATTAATTAAAAAGAAATTAAGAGATAAGGAAAATTTCTTAAGAACATTGCACTTGTGAATGTACTAAGCTTATATCTCTGTTACCTTTACCCTCACCTATAACTATAAGTCCATTACTAGCATTCTGAGGCATTTATTGTCTGTAATGTCTCCCTTACCTTTAAAGAGTCACATAACCTGCAGTGAAAATAGAAAATAGTGAAAATAGCATTATAAAAATAATGAACTGGGGAAATGAATCTAAATACCATAATGGATGATTATTAAGTAGATAACTCAATTTTTAAACTTTGTATATTTTCATAGTACCCTTTGGGTAGAAGTTTGCTAAAGCTCAGCAAGCAGCACACATTTCATGGATTAATGTCTATTTGTTCAGTCAGTGATGGAGGATGAAAAAAATCTTCCATTTTAAAAGACATAACTACCAGCATCCCTCTGCTCCATGAATGGAATAGAATAGAATAAAATAGAATAGAATAAAACTTTATTGATCTCACAATGGAGGAATCCACTTGGTGATATCATCCCTTATAAACAACAGGAGGTGCACAAAGGAGGAAAAGGTGCATTTAGTGCATCCAGATATATGCAGTGGATGGGGAAAACAAAGGAGAGATTTAAGGTGACTTATATATACACAGCATCTTATGTACAGTAAAGTGGTGGCAGGTAAAGTGCAATTTATGGTTTGTTAAATAGATAAATAGTATAAGTTATTGCAGAGTTATTACACCAGGTTGTAGTACAATGGCATTGTAAAGTCAGAATGAGCTTGAATATGGCTAAGCTGAGCTAGCCGCCATGTCCTTATCCATCCCCTGGTCTCCACACTTATCCCCGTCCTTCAGAATCTCTTGATACTGACCCCTTTGGTGGTATACTTTTTTTTTTCATTTATCAAGGGGCGTGGCTATGTTAATACACTTTTAATGGATGAGCTAAAATAGCCTAAATCAAACAAAAAATTAATAAATGTGCATACCTCCTCGATTACTTAAACAGGATGTATTTTTCACAGGATTACTGTTAAGAGGTCACAAAGCTGAATGCAGGTTGGTTTAAAGTTGACGTAAGACTGTAGCTTTCCTAACCAGGAGGAAGCATTTAATTCATGGGAGCCTCCCTGACCTCACAGTTCCATCCTTTGACCTGTGAACCAGGCTGCAATAAACCACTGACCGCTCCGGCCATGCTGGTTAATGGAGTCACCGTCATGAGGTACGAGCTCAGGCCCAAATGATCACACACACAGGCATGCACAACTCCCTCCTGATCCATTAATATTGCAATCTCAACCGGTCGAAGCTCCGCTGTGGGGAGAAGGTGGGAATCAATAACTGTCTGTTTAGTTTATAGGTGGTCGGGATATGAGCCTATAGGTACTGTGTCCCACTGTCATTTGGATTTAATGCTTAGGTCAACTGCGGGTCGCCATCGTATATTTGTAAAATTTCATTTAATACCTGATATACCTTCCTTGTGCATGTAATCGATCCAAGAGCTCTAAGAAGCAGACTGGCCATTGAACCAGATTTTCTCGTTTTAAAATTATGCAGTTAGATTATTGTTTCTGGGACTATCATATTTTTGCTTATCAGTGTTATTAGAAGCAGGGAGCCATGTCATCAGGTTTCCAGGGAAACAGTGTCATGTCTCTGTTTCTGCCCTCAGCAGTCTTGCGAGCTCAGATAACAGAAAATCTCATGTTCATCAGCTGACTGAGGCTATTCAAGCTCAGAGGTTCTGCTATATAAACCAGAGGGTTCAGCCAAAAGTTTGACCTAAAATTTTCCTCTATTTGCTAAAACTGTCTATTTTAATCAAATAATGGCCCAAATGGTCAGAGGTCCATGTTGGTTCTGCTTCGGTGGAAGCAAACATGCTCTGCCTTCAACAGAATGGTAGATTGGTGCTTCAGAGCTTTACAATCCCAAAAGACCAGACTGTTGACCCTTAATGAGAAGGTCAAGTGCTTCCTTAAGGTCTCCCTTCCAATCTACATAAAGAATAATAAACAAGAATAAGCACAGCACAGGTCAGCTGGATGTAAAACATACTTCTTTCATTCATCCATCTTCTGTCCTTGCTTAATTCTATTTTCAATTTGGGCTTTTTCAGTCTAGAGGGGAAAAGCAAGTTGCAGCCTGGACAAGGAGGCAGGTTCCTTATAGGTTAATCACAGAGCAGAGCCCACTGGAGCAAAAAACGTAGGTGAAATGTCCTCATTTCATCTTAACTCAAACAGAAGGGAACAAAGAACCTCAGGTAGAGTACCCTCTATGTACGTAAAACTGACTTGGTAAGTATCTACGGGATTCAGACCAGAGCTTTGCCTTGCAAGAAAAAAAGTCCTGGGTTCCAGTCCTGGCTGAGGGTATTTCTTTATGATTTTAGATGTTCTCCTCAGGTGTACTACAGATACCTTAACTTAGGTATAATTGTGTATGCATGGTTGTTCTCCTGAATGCATGTGACATCAGAGGTAATTCTGTCATACCCCATTTCCATGCATTAATTCATAGCATGAATAGTCTTCTTGTTTCCAGTATCCTTTCCAAAAGGAGGAAAAAACATATATTTATTTTTTATTTATTTATCCTTTATTTACCCAGGTAATACCCCATTGAGATTAAAAATCTCTTCTGCAACAATAATAATAACTATATCAATATTTCCTGAACCAGAGGAAAATAATACTTACACCCATATGTATATATGCATACGCATCTACCTGTATATGTATGCATAAATGATAAATACCTGTTTTAACACCCACACATATTTACACACACATACATAAACCTGCACCCAATTTCCCAAGTCATCAGCAGTGCTGTAATTTCCAGCCAAATTCATCACCCCTCTTCATCCTGATACTTTTGAATAATAACCATTTTAAGTAATTTCTTAAAATGCCTCATGCATAAATATAAATATAAACCACTTGTTTGTTAGCAAATGAAATCTGGCAAACTGAAAGATGGAGGTCTATGTTTTAAATAGGTTCCAAGTTGTTTGCTTTATTTCACCTTTCATTTTTTACATGCAATACAGCATGAACTACTGGAAAATATACATGGTGTTAAACAGAATCACCCGACATTCCGCTCTAATGATCCTTAACAATATCTCCTCTCATTCCTGAAGTGAGTCAAGCAACTGGTCCCTGCTCTGATCCAAACCACAACTCTCTGAGGATTTCTACCCAACTTGGGGGTCACAGTTCAAAGTGTATTCCCTTCTAGAGGTCACCTTTGGTCCTCTGACCCCCCTGTGGACAGAGGGCTGTTTTCAGAGCAGTGAATGGAAAGTGATTAATCAGTTTTTGAAATAGGCTAATATCCTCTTAAAAACTGACCCAAAGCTGTCATTACAGCTAAAGGTGAAATTGGACGAAATCCTTCATTCCAACATTATAAAACATTAAGGATCAGATTAAACGGCTGCTGTGTGTGTTTCTTTTGGGGTCATTGGATAGAGAGGTCATCTGTTACTCTTTGACCTGAAGGTATGAAGGAGTCCGCTGTCAGGCAGACAAACAGAACCGGACACCTTCACTTCATTGCTCTCAGCGTGAAGTCCCTCTGTGAATATCTTTCTGTCTAACCCGCCCAAAGCATCACTATGATGGAGACCTTAAGGGTTACTTCAGGTTGACTGGGAAACCCTAATACATTTTAAATGTGCAGGGCATTTTTGGAAATTGATAAAAAGAGACTGAAGTTAACCAAGCCAGTAAGTATAAAAAAAAAAAAAAAAAAAAGAGCAGCGTCATCCTATAAATCATTTTTGGAATCAGATCTTTATATATTAAAATGATTCTTTCAGATCCTTCATTCCTGCAGCTATGTTTTATCATATAAACTTGTATTAATTCCAGCCATACATCCAAAGATGCAGACAATTTTCAAAATAAAGAGGTTTTGGCTGCAAATAAGCACTAACTAATAAAAGAAGCAATTCATCTTTACACCATGAAGCAGTAGCAGCTGGCCAATAGAGGGCACTAGGGCGCCGCCCCACCCACTCCGTGACCCTGATTAAGACATAAAAAAAAAAATTTATTTTATTTAAATTTAAAATATTTCAAAATATATTGATATGTATTTTTTAGATGTTTAAGATAAATATGTAATCTTTAATGACTATTAAGTGTTGTTTCATTGTTCGTCGGATTGGTGACGTATTTCCTCCCTGGGGCACAAGAATGTTTACCCATTGGCTGAATTTTAAATCGGGCTGCGTCCTCCGAAGCCCAGATTTGTAGGCCGATTACCTCATAACGCAGAGCTGACGTCTGTTTGGTTTGCAAGACTCCTAATTATGCTGCCGACAAATGTATCCTTCTTTTTGCCCGTTTTAAAGGTCGGGTCCGGTGTATCCCAGCCTGGGTTATCCCATGATTCATTGCAAGTCCAAGCAAGCAGGCTGCTTCATGCTCAGAGGAAAAATGTACTTGGCGCTGAAAAGTGGTGAATATTGGAAGTGCAGTTTAATGTAATCCAAGTATGTGAATAGTTGCATCTGAAATTAATAAAAATATTTGTTTTAAATGGTTATTGAGTCACATATGTGGTGGGTAATGTTTGGTTTATTGAAAGGTTTTTATCTCACCCTGTACAAATGTGTTTGGCTTATATTTAAGGACAGATTCTAATATATCTGCAGTGTTGGGGTCTATAAATCTGATACAGTGCAGCTGTTGAAGCTCCTCAAAAATTTTATTAGCAGTCCATCACCCTATTTTGACGGTGATGGACATACGTCCATACGATGACAGAGAAAACATACGTAGACGGTGAACAGAACAGTTCTCATTGATTAACATGACAGACAAGTACTCCACATGACGTGCTTTACCGGGCCGAAATGGAGGGGTGATGGAAGATGTAGGATCCAAGGGACAGTCATCCCATGTGGCGTAATTTCCTGTGATTCGCTTATACAAGGGACCTCTGTGATTGGTTGCAAACTATTGACTGCTTAAAACAATACATTTGTGTATCGAGGCACGTCAGGGCATTCTCAAAAATCCACACACAAATGCAGTGAAGTTTAAAAATGGTTCTTTATAATTTAATTTATAACAGTTTATGGATTAGAAATACTTTGGTGAATCTTGTTCTTTCCCTGGAGAAAACTTCACCAGCCGCCACTGCCATGAAGATGAGAATATAACATATAACAGAAGATCGATTAAAACTTGTGTTCTCCAGATCCAGCATGGAGGAGTTTTTACTCTGCTTTGGATAGAAAGATTTTATTTTTCCTTTTGTTGTGAAGAACTTTTTCAGTTAAGTCTTGGAAAAACGAAACTGAAATGTCTGGATTATATTCAGTATTCCATTAATCATAGGAGGCAGGTTTGTTTAGTGTTGGTTCTGCCCAGTAAATTCAAGCAGGATCGTCTGGCCTCTTTAAAACATAACCTGTTATAAAGGACTGGGTTTGAAACAGAAATCTAACAACAATATGTTCCATTTCTTATAATATAAAAATATTTTTCGGGATTTTTTTTTAAACAGCTTCTGAGATCTTTAAAATCAGATCATCTAAATAAAACAACTTGATATAAAAAAGAGCTGCTGTCTTAATGTATGCTGTAACAAATGAAATACAAAAAATAAGTTCCATTATTGCTGCCTAAAGGTGATTTTTGAAGGATGACTTGAATAGTCTGATTTTGTCCTTTCAACTGAGAAAGATTGAATGGAGGCAGAAAACACATCTTCAGCTAAAGATCATGGAAAGAAAAAATACAGCATGAAAACAGTTCCTGAATGTTTCAAACTAAAAACATTACTGGGTCAAAACAATTTTGCATTTTTACTTTTAAGCGACGGTTCTTATAATGCATGTTTGAATATGCAAATGCAGGCAGGGTTTTCGACAAGGTAGTTTTAGAAACATTCAGTTGTAATGTAATGAAATCAAAGAATGAAATATGTGTTTAAGAAATGTATTATTACTTAATTTTTATTTACTGTGTGTAAAATATGATTATTACAGGATAAATCAATCATTTAGATCAAAAGTTTTACTTTTAACTATTTTTCTTGCAATGAAAAAAAAGTATACATTGTTTTTAATTCATTACCATTTTGGAATTTAATTAATTTAATTAATAACATTTAGAACCCTTATTCAATTTATTTGATTTTTTTTTATTAGAGCATAAAACAAGTTAATATTGCTAAAGTGAGACTGAAACAAAAGAATGCATGTCTTGTGTTATTTAGGCCCATGCAGTACTATCTGGTACGCAGATACCATGTTGGGTCACTGTGTTCTCACAATCTTTGCAATTATCCATTGATATTATAGAATAATCAAACATAATGTTCCGCTGGGATTATCATGATAGAGGCTCTGGAGAGAGCTGGACTTGAGCTGCAGTTCAATCTAACTTTGGAGGCAGAATGGGAATTATGTCAGATTTCCTGCCTGCAGGGGTTGAGAGAAGCCGATCAGCTCCACGAGTCTCATCATTTAATAACCAAGTGCTTTCCTCATTGGCTGCAGCGAGGTCAGAGATTAATGGTCAATAAGAGGAAAGTCGGAGTCTAGAGGAAACCTGAATGCAAAGACCCCTTGGATTTACAGCCCTTTTTTCTATAGAGATAGATAAAAGACTAAGAGATAAGAGACCAATAAGAGAAGAATTTATCTTTTTTTTTTAAGTATCACAATTTTATTTTCATATGTACATCCTTAAAAAATAGTACAAAGAAAAAGGATGGATTTTTTTCTGTGATGCATATAAATAGCTTTATTATAAATCATGCAGGAAGTGTTGCAAATTATATGGACACTGCAATGTAAGTAGAACAGGAAAGGAAAAACAGAAAAAAGGAGAAATGATGACAGAAAGAGGAGATAAAAGGGGAGATAAAGATAAATCATCTTCAGTCTGCTTCCTCACCTGCAAAGAGATTTAAAAAGAACAGCACAACCAACAGATAAAATATAAGAGATACAATAAAGTAACACCTTGATACTATCCCTGATGTATAAGTAGTATTATTTAAGTAATAAATTCTACTAACTAAAGATAAAAGCCCCAATTTGATGTTCAAGATCCTACTGAAACAGAAGTCCTTTAATCCTCGAGATGTTCTTTGGGTCGACTTTGTTATTGTCTTTAAGTGCTTTTGAAGGTTCGGGTCTGAGTCACTCCACCCAGGTTTTGAGTCTGATTGGTGCTTTCTAGCTGTATTAACTGATGGTGAGTGCTAAGTCATCAACAGGAGGTTTAAAATGTACTACTTCAGTTTTGTAGCTTGTCATTGTAAGGAAGGTGTTCAACTGATGAAAGCTTTTTCAATAATCATAATGATGAAGTGGAGCTTTGAAATGGGCCTGTAATTCTGCAGTTGTTTGATTGTCCAAATTCTTTTCTTTTTTTACCAATGGCAGTTGTTGATGTTTTAAGGCCCAGAGGAAAACATGTTAGTTGAGTTAAATAAGGCATTATGAGATTTATTATGGGTAAAAATAAAAATAAAAATCAGACAGCTGGAGGAAGAGCTTAGTTTTTGTTTTATTTCTTCTATGTTATTGTAGTTTATTTGATTAAATTGGGCATTTTTTTTATATAAATGTTAAGATCAGGTCCTAGTAGAGTCGAGTCCAGATACTACGTTCACAGGAGGGTTTATTAACCTTTTGACCTGGGCAAATAAGGCACAAACATTGTTAACGTTTTTGCTGATGACCTCAGAGCAGAAGGATTCTCTTACATTCTATCTGTAGAGTTCTATCTGTAGAGCCTCTCTTTCTAGATATTACAGTGGACCTGGAGTCCAGTCTTTTTGCCAGTTGTGTTCAGCTTTTCAACACTCATTATGCAACACATGGTGTTTTTCTGTTGCATAAAATCCTAGCTAAACAGTTTTGTTTCAGATTGTGAGGCATAATATTTCTGTCTACCTTGTATTGATTGTCTTTATTTTCTCTTGTTTATGTTCTTTAAATGGTTAAATTGTTGTTTTTTTCCCCTTTGTTTTAGATCCTTGGTTAATAATATCTTCTTTTCTATGTAGTAATTATATACGACTTGTTTGATGTTTCCTTTATTCTCATTTGAATGTAATTCATGCTAATTAGTTCTTGTTCTTCAGTCTGTTTTCCTTCCTCCCAAGCTCTTCATTATACTGTTTGTGCTTCAAGAGCTATGCTCTCAATTTCTCCATCTAGTTTTTCTGTTTTTATGCTGTCGTATGTATTGTTTTCTCTGTTTTATGTCATTTTCTAAGCTTCTAGTTTAGTTATTGAGGAGTTTTTTTGAATTAGGATCCTTCTCAAAACTAAAACACATCATTAAGTAAAAGTTTCTTTTGAGCCAGGCTTTGTGTGTTGCTGCCAATGGAAATATTGGGGGAAATTGAAGCTTCGTGAGATATAGTAGAATATCAAAAGAGGCTTGATATTGATCAGGTTCCAGAGGGCCTCTAGAAGTGAGTATATTAGGATCATCATTGCACATTAGCATGCCGATGGAAGCATTTGGCTCTAAGCCTTGCTGTGGTTCAGTGCATCCTGTGACCAGTTACAAGGCTTATTGACGTGTGCTTGTAAAGAGAAATGAACATCACATTGCACAAAACTGCATTTGTCAGAACAAATAATGACTAAAGTTCAGGCTTTACTCTTCCCTGCACATGTTGACATGCATGTTCTTTATGCCATCAGTAAAAGCCAATTTAAAAGACACTGAATGCTCTAATTGAATGCCTTCATTAATACGAGTCCATCACTTTTCCCATGAGCCTTTAGAAATCTATACTGTTTTAAAATCCAAGCCCTCCATCCTACAGCCAGGATCCCAAAACAGGCCCAGTGTCTCCATCTGAGACCGAGCCACTTCACTTTCCTGGAGATCGATGGACAGGCTGTAATCCCCCCACCCTTCAACTCAGCTGTGATGCATTGTCCGTCCAACCCGTTTTGTCAGAGACACTGACTCTAACAGACAGGTAATAGAGCACATTAAAAGCTGTGCATGAACAGCCCCGGGATCAATAAGCAGCGAAAGGAACAGGTAATATGATATTGATGGACCTGCAATTACCAAGATATTTAGCAGATGTATTTGATTTTATGTCCAGATGTGTGTGCGTGTGTGTGAGGTGCAGCCTTGTATGCAAACCCAACCCTGTTGTAATCAATCTTTTCATAACACAAATGTATATTTTACCAGTTTACATCCCTTTATGTTTGCAGCAGCCAGCATGAGGGCTGCAGGGCTACAGAAAATCAATTACAGACTGACTGTGATCTTAATATTATGACTGCAGCTCAGCTATCAATTGACATATTTATCAAATACAGCTGAGGTAGAAACAGGCAGCAAAAACCTCCATCTTTAACAGAGCCTGCTGTTAGTCTGGCTTCCTCCATTTTGCTAATATTTAAGACATCATTTCTGATTTAAAAAAATGTTATGAGACATTATGCAGTCAGCGTGGAGCAACTTTTGGAATAATCTTTCTAGACTGCATAACTGTTCCATCCACTGCATCACCCACAGCAAAGGCCCAAGGTAACCTGCATGGCATCATCTTTAGCAGTGATGAGGTTAATTGGTCTAAACTGAACTTTTACACAGTTTGTCACAACAGCAATGGATTTTCCCTTATTGACCCACAGATAATGCCGTTACTGACCTCAGAGGTTCTTTAGAGGACAGCACCTTCATAGAGACCAAGGAACCCTACAGACAGGTCAGGGAGGAAGTTTGGCCCGTTTATGACAAGGTTAGGTTCTACAACAATATCCCGTTATCCCGTTATCAGAACATGGAGAGAAGATGGACTACCTGAAGACCTAACACAATATGAATGTCTACCTTGACTGGCAGGCTGGACAAGAGGAGATTTAGTCAGAGAAACGGCCAAAAGGAAGCATGTCAAACATAATGGGAGGACGGATGGATATAAATCAGAACAATGCTGGAAGAAAAGATCTGACACCAGGGTGGGGGTTCACCCTCAAACAGGAAACCACCCTAGACATCCAGCCAGCGTTAAAGGTGGATTAGATCAAAGCAGCTTCATGGATTGGAATGGTCTAAGCAAAATCCAGGAAAAAATAAAAATAAAAGGTGAAGACCTGAAAGTTAATGTTCACAGACTTTCTTCATCCAGCTTGATGCAACTATTACCAGGAATAAAAGATCACTACCAGGTGATAATTCAATCAGACAAAAAAAATTATGCTGATTTTGAGCCTCAAGCTGAAGTTTTCACTTAAACACAGTTGGAAGGGGGTCAAATAAGGTCAAATAGGGGGAAGATATATAGCCTGCAGCAGAATGTCCATTTGTTCTGATGGAGTGATTAGGATTCCCTCTATGCTGTAGGTCTGCACTAACCTGTCACATTCAGCAGGGACAGCTGATCCAAGAACAGACATGTCGCTACATCCAGAGAGAGGGGTTCGGACCATGTCTGCCCACCCAAGAAGAAAAAACCTCACTTTCACTGCCGTCTGATTCGAACTTCATTTGCTCTGCAGTGTCTATTGAAAAAGAAAAGCCATCACAGAGAAAGCAGGTAACAAGTGGATTCAATGCAGACCTGTGTCAAATATGAATTTTAGTAACACTTAATCAGATTGACAATCCCAACTTAAGTAGAGTCTACAAAAAAAGAGCCAAACACATATGATTATTGCTGGTATTAATATAATCTGCAATCTGGTTTGCTTATGTTTACTAAACATAAGCAAACCAGATTAAAAGATTGATTTTCAATTTTTCTGGATATACCTTTTTCCTTGGCTCTACCTTGGCCACAGTGTGCTCAGCATACTTTGGTTATGCTGAGCTATTTTCTGCATTTGTGCTGTTATAGGCTTAGACTGCTGGAGAACATAGGGATTCCTCTTCATCATTCCATCTCTATTTTCCCATTCTGCAGTATTTGTTAGTTCAATCTTGTTTTGCTCTCTCTGCCTTCTCTCATCATAGCAGCTTCATCTAGCCTGTTACTGTTTGGCTGTGACACCATCCTGGAGAGAATTATCAGCTGTGGTGCTGACATCAACGCCTTTGTTTATAGATGTTGGAGCTTGGCCTGTTTTTCAGTGACTAACTGTATGTGCTCTCCATTCATCCTCAGACATGAGAGATGACTTGGAGCTTGTCTGTCTGTGTTTCCTGGATGGGCCTGCCTGTGGAGCTACTGTATTTAACAGTTGCTTCTTTTTCTTTGTCCACTTCTGTTTCTTTGAACCTCCCTGAATGTAGTCGGCCTCAGCAGATGGCCGCTTAGACTGAGCCTGGTTCTGCTGGAGGTTTCTTCTTGATAAAAGGGAGTATTTCTCTCCACTGTCACACAAACATGCTTAGTGCGAGGGATTGCTTTCGGGGTCAATGAGTCGATGCAATCAGCTGGTTTTACTTAGATAGAAAAGTTTGAACCAATCCGTCTGTATGATGTGGTTGACTTGTCTCTGTAAATGCCTTGACATGACATGTGTTGTTAATTGGAGCTAAATAAATTACCTGAACTGAATTAAATTTTCATCAACTCATAGACTTTACAGATATCATTATTTACTTGTTCTCTGTTTAGTGTTTTCTCCAACTAAAAGAGAATTTTCTAGCAGAATACAAGGAAAGTCAACGGGACATTCCTAGACATTGGTCATGCATTTTTGTGGATTAAAGTGTCACAAATTAAAAATCCAGTCACACTGAGACATAAGTTAATCAAAAACAGTTCATGTTTATCTGTGTTGTATTGATTTGATTTGAACCATACATTCTGGTAGATTTACGACTGCTTCCTCTGATTCAATACATTTTTTACAAAATTTACAAAAGATCATCAGGCAAGACCTGAAAGATCCATTAAAGTGTAAGATAACACAGATAGGGTGTCAGTATGACATACAGAGAGAGATCTGGTTTGGAAAGAGGTGCTGTTAGGAACTGATCAATGAGCAGCTCTCTCTAAATCTGAGGCCTTCAGTCTACAATATGTAGCCATTTTCTTTAACTTGTCAATATGTTCTTCCCTCTAGGAAAACATTACAGTTTGGTTTTGACATTCTTCGACCCAGTTTAACCCCTTGTCAAACTGCTGTTACTGTCCCATTACCACACATCAGACAGAGCCTGATCTGGGCCTCCCACAGGCTCCGGATCTCTCTGTGTGTTCCCTCCTTCAGTGCCACAGCACTAAACCCAGCTCCCTCCTCCCTGTCTCTGCTGCTCTCCACTGCAGTACATGATGGCCCTGACTAGTATGGGGCCATAATTCGTTCCATTCCTTTTTATTAAACTCATAGCCACACTGTTATTAGTGCCTGGTGAGAGAAGCTGTTCGGTAACAGCATGATATCTTCCATATGTGATGTTACTGCCATCTGAAGGCCCAAGCATACATCCTAAGACTAAAAGAGACAGATGAAGCAAAGTATTTTCCCTCTAATTGTAGAGCTTGGCTTAAGCAGGGCCTAAATGACATCCAGTTGGATATGGGATCAGAGCAGCATGGTTTGCCTTCACACGCGTCTAATACATGTCAGCCCTGGCAATCCTAGTGGTGCTGTGAAAAACATTCAATTTAAAAAAAAAATTTTTTTTGCATTTCAGTGATATGCTTCTCTGAGCAAAACATCAGCTACTTATCTACTATTGGTGAAAAACATAAAAAAGATAGAAGGAAACATGTTTTATCTAAACAAGAAGATAATAAGAAATGTTCACTTAAAGTAATATTCCTTCTTTTCTCGTGATGGAGTACTTTTACACAGATAATGTCTAATATTAATAACGCCAATATTCTGTGTTTAATGTTAGATAAATTAGCCATATTAAAGAAACCTGGAGGTCTTCAACAAGGGGTCCGTGACCCCTAGGGGGTGCACAGAGGTACTGCATGGGGGTCGTGAAAGTTTTGGTTGATTAGACTTTTTTTTATATTCCCCCCTACAATTTTTCCACTAATTGAAATGTCTTTAAATACACTTTAACATGAATTAAACCCATGGTAGTAGACAGATAAATGGAGATGTCTTTCAGTCATCAATGCACACATTCAGCGACACACAGGAGCTCTTTCAATCTGGGCACCGTTTTATTCACAACACCTGTCCCATCAACGAGGTATCAGAAATGCTTTAATAATAGAAAGTAATAGAAATTACTTTTGTTACATGACTCCATCTGTAATAGAGTGACTATAGGACCAGTTTGATATAAAATTATTTCATACAAAATGTACAGGTGCTGGTCATAAAATTAGAATATCATGAAAAAGTAGATTGATTTCAGTAATTCCATTTAAAAAGTGAAACTTGTATATTATATTCATACATTACATACAAACTCATATATTTCAGATGTTTATTTTGTTTAATTTTGATGATTACAAATGACAACAAATGAAAATCTCAAATTCATCATATCAGAAAATTAGAATATTGTGAAAAGGTTCAAAATTGATGGCCCCTGGTGCCACACTCTAATCAGCTAATTAACTCAAACCACCTGCAAAAGCCTTTAAATTGTCTTTCAGTCTAGTTCTATAGGCTACACAATCATGGGGAAGACTGCTGACTTGACAGTTGTCCAAAAGACGACCATCGACACCTTGCACAAGGAGGGCAAGACACAAAAGGTCATCGCTAAAGAGGCTGGCTGTTCACAGAGCTCAGTGTCCAAGCACATTAATAGAGAGGCGAAGGGAAGGAAAAGATGTGGTCGAAAAAAGTGTACAAGCAAGAGAGATAACCGCACCCTGGAGAGGATTGTGAAACAAAACCCATTCAAAAATGTGGGGGAGATTCACAAAGAGTGGACTGCAGCTGGAGTGAGTGCTTCAAGAACCACCACACACAGACGTATGAAAGACATGGGTTTCTGCTGTCGCATTCCTTGTGTCAAGCCACTCTTGAACCACAGACAGCGTCAGAAGCGTCTTGCCTGGGCTAAAGAGAAACAGGACTGGACTGCTGGTGAGTGGTCCAAAGTCATGTTCTCTGATGAAAATAAATTTTGCATTTCCTTTGGAAATCAAGGTCCCAGAGTCTGGAGGAAGAGAAGAGAGGCACTTCATCCACGTTGCTTGAAGTCCAGTGTAAAGTTTCCACAGTCAGTGATGGTTTGGGGTGCCATGTCATCTGCTGGTGTTGGTCCATTGTGTTTTCTGAGGTCCAGGGTCAACGCAGCCACATACCAGGAAGTTTTAGAGCACTTCATGCTTCCTGCGGCTGACCAACTTTTTGGAGATGCAGATTTCATTTTCCAACAGGACTTGGCACTTGCACACAGTGCCAAAGCTACCAGTACCTGGTTGAAGGACCATGGTATCCCTGTTCTTAATTGGCCAGCAAACTCTCCTGACCTTAACCCCATAGAAAATCTATGGGGTATTGTGAAGAAGAAGATGCAATACACCAGACCCAACAATTCAGAAGAGCTAAAAGCCACTATTAGAGCAACCTGGGCTATCATAACACCTGAGCAGTGCCACAGACTGATCGACTCCATGCCACGCCGCATTGCTGCAGTAATACAGGCCAAAGGAGGCCCAACTAAATACTGAGTGCTGTACATGCTCATACTTTTCATGTTCATACTTTTCAGTTGGCCAACATTTCTATAAATCCTTTGTTTTTATTGGTCTTCAGTAATATTCTAATTTTCTGATATGATGAATTTGAGATTTTCATTTGTTGTCATTTGTAATCATCAAAATTAAACAAAATAAACATCTGAAATATATGAGTTTGTATGTAATGTATG